AAGAGGAAGCTTGTGTAAATGTAACCTCCAGAACAAAATGCTGAGGCCATGCAAATTGTTGTGAAGTCAAGATACAATTGAATAGGTGTTCTGTTCTTGAAGATAAGATGACAAAATAGATGCCTCAGCTCAATGTAATATCGGTAGGAACTGGTTTGGGCTACCCCCCTTTAAAAGGTTGGAAATTCACAATGAAGATGATTACTAGTTGACCAATCCCATAACTGTCAGCCTTTCACCAAGTATTTAGAACACATGCTCAGGAGGGTCGAACAGTACTTTAATTATTGCTCAGAATTTCAGCCTGTTTTCTTGAAACGTAATGAACACCTATATTTATGCCTTTTAAATATGTTATCACTTCTTTGGTGTGCATGTTCAGTGGAGTGATTTCCCATGCACCCAGAGCTGTAATAAGGGGAATACCTGCTTGATATAACTCTCTGGTGCGTCAAGTTACTTTGCAATTTTTCTTGGCTTCACCATTCTCAGACTTCCCTTCATCTTCAGACATTTCTGCTGGTCCTTTGCACTGCTCTTCTCTGTAGTTTTCTGATTACTACATCAGAATCAAGACACTATGTAGTTAATATTCAGTCTTAACATTCACTCTTTTACAAAGGGCTGCCTATGCTTTATGATCTTATAAGCCCCTTTGCACAGATTACAGAGCCTCTGCCACTAATGCAGCTCCATGTAAACACATTCAATGTGATTCGTGCTAAAGTATTTTCTCTCCTGGATCACTTGTACACAACAAAACTCAGGGGTTATAAATCTCTAAAAAGAGCACTAACCAATCTTTTCACTGCACAGACACTGTGTGAGAAACTGAAACCCCACAGCTACAGTTTTGTAGTCTTCTGTGGAATGCTGCGAATATCCAATGTACTCAGTCTACTCAGGGAGTTCTGCAAGATTGGGCTGAATATTTCATTTTAGTGACAAGCTGGAACTTAGCAAACTCTTTTCTTACTAAATAAAACTTCTTCATAAGCTGCTGATACAAGTTGCAGCTTGTTTCTTAGTGGACAACCCTGCAGTTTGTTTAGATAATTAGAAGCGTCTGTATCTTTGTATTTAGATAGGTTCCAGAGGCTTTGTACAGATAAAGAAGGTTTCATGACTCTTTGTATGGAATATTTATGGGCCTCTGAATGTATGTAAACTAAAAGCCTTTTTGTGCAAGGTATGCATGATAGAAGGATTGTATCCCTCATACATCCATCACTGATACTAAAGAATGCACACCTTCTAACACTCCAACTTAAGTCTTAGAGAGGCTTTTGATTGACCATTTTATGGTAACAGTGCTGCAATCAGAGATCCACATATGACTGAGTTAAGGGAGCAGTGCTATTTCTGAGAGACTTTTGTTATGGATGCAATTCCCTGCAGCACAGCTCTGAATCTGGCTAAGGGTAGGAGGAGAAACACATGGAACACCTGGAATGTTTCCACCCTTGACCAGGTGGCCCCAGAGCAGGTAACACAGAATGCTGGAAGACGATGACCATGCTGGGGAGGCAAGGATGTCTCCCAGTAGAACTGACTGATCTTTATGTACGTTCACAGAAGTTACTTCCATACCCAGACACCCTGTCATTTCATTAAACAGGTTAATTGTGTAATCTATAGAGGTCCTGTTAGGGGATTTTTCTGCAAACTACTATTGTAATGTTAACATAATACATGCATTGTCTTTGTCTGAGGGTTTCCTTCTGTTCTTAACATACCTATAAATCTGTTTTTTGCAACATAAGACATTACCCCACATCAGAATTCTGGAATGGAATGCTGCCCTCAGGGAGTAACATTGTATTGAATGAAGTTAATTTCCCCAAGACTGGATTCCTGATGAATTAAAGAAATCTGAGTATGAGTGGTTCAAAAATTTCCAATTCAAGTACTCTCCAATAAATGCCTTTCCCCCACTTTGAATGTCTCTAGCCAAATATGGTACCTCTGTTCCAGCTCCTCCTTGCAGCTTTCACATTTCTGCATGTGCCCTGGCCCCCAGCCCTTATCTCCTCCAGCCCATGGGCTGTTTACAGAGAATGGTTATAAAGAGGCTGACCCAGCAGAGAGTGGAGAGGAAATACAGGGTGCAGGAAAACAACAGCGCCAGACCAGTCTGGTTGTTTGCTTGAGTCACTGCGTCCTGCTGAGCATGATGAGGAAGGACTGGCTCTTCAACAAGCTGGTTATCTTTCTCCTTTTCTTCCTCTTCCCTGGAAATATCTCTCACACTGCAGAACCGTAAGCTACACATATGGAAGAGGGAGGGAGGGAGGTCATAGTGCTTCTTTTTCCAGTCACTTTTCTTTCTTTCTCTCATTCTTCAAACAGTTGTGACAATTTCTTCCACTTCTGCCCTGTATCCCATTACTCATCTCTGATTCTCCTGAAAAACTCTGCCAGTGTTCCATTTTCTCTGCTACAACCTTCAGCTAGTTCCAGCACTATATCATCACAACACCTCTGCCTAAATACATTCCTGACTAGAAATCTTCAGGTGGCTCAGCTTTTGTGAACATGCATGTACTTACCTTTCTTGTAGTATCCTTGTTTTGATCACTGACTCATTGTTCCCTGTTCCTTTTTTTTTCTTTTTCTTTTTGTTCCCTGTTTATTCCTTTTCTTGAGTTTCTTTCAAGATAGTTTGTTTCCCTTGGCAGCATTAGACATGCTTGTTCTCAAAGAGAATCTGTGACCTAGATTCTCTTTCACAACCATTGAGCCAGACGCTGGCACTCTCCCTGGTGTGTCCACCCCAGTGCTCTGCAGACAAGCAGCATGGCTGCAGCATCCACCCTGCTTAGAGCCCCAAGCAGAAGATATAGCTGAGTGTCCCCACCATGATCTCACCTACTGAGAGGCTTGTTCCACAGTCCCAGGTCCAGGCAGAGCCATCTCATTCTTCAGACCTTGCTGCTATCATTGTGCTTATTACTGTGCTTGCAGAAACAGTTTTCTGCTGTGAGAAATAGGAGCAAGGGGATAAACCAGTTAGAAAAGAGAATGGGGAGGTGTGGTTCTGAATCTGGTCTCATGATGCCTGCTAGAGATTTCATGCTCACAAGCAGTGGTAGATCTAGCATAAAGTGCAGTGTATGCTGCTGTTACTTACTGTGTGGTCAGAGGTGAAATGGTAACAGGCTAAAATTAGTTTTGACTTTTGACTCATACTGTGCCATCAGCATCTCACTCACCTTCCCTATTGCACTGGTTCTAGAGAAGATCAGCTAGCCAAGTCTTTCTGGGGTCATGTAGAGCTCTCTGATCTCCCCACAATAATCTCTTGTTATTTCTGCCTGGGATCAGGTGGAAAAGGCATGAATCCATACCGTTTAGTCCTCCCATGAGCAACATATTGCTCTTTTTCCCTTACCTGAGCACCATTTTAGGAGGAGAGAATGAGAAAAGGTTGAGAGAGATGGGATAAGGAGAGGTAATGCCCACTGTGAGACATAAAAAACCAAAGTGAAGATGGATCTTTGGGGTAAATAACATGACAACAGGCAGGGAGTTGGTGTTTCCTTCCTCTGAGCCAAGCCATAGGTACTGATCTTTAAAGAATATGGGGACTAGTTGTGTAGTCTATCAAGCAAACACAGTAGAATTCAGAATAGCTTCCCAGAACATGATCACCAATTTATATGGTACTGGAACAACAGGTTGCCCAAGGAGGTTGTGGATCCCCCATCCCTGGAGGCATTCAAGGCCAGGCTGGATGTGGCTCTGGGCAGCCTGGTCTGGTGGTTGCACATAGCAGGGGGGTTGAAATTAGATGATCATTGTGGTCCTTTTCAACCCAGGCCATTCTATGAATCTGTGAAACCCAAGAGAAGGTGTGAAGTCTTCCAAGTCAAAACAGAATGAAGCTTCCAACCAAGATACATTTTGCCTGAGGAGACAGCTTCTTTGAACAGCAACAATTGCTGTTCTTCCTGCTTCAGTGTGGCCAGCTGCAAAAGAGAGGCAATTAAGTTTCAGATTGGATACTGGAAAAAAAAAAAAACTTATCACGTTAATGCAGCATTGAAATGGCTCTCCCAGAAATCAGTGAAAAGTCCTTCTATGAAGGTCTATGTAACATTCATTTTCCAAGAGAGAAGTTGATCTTAAGACATCCAGAGGTTTTTTCAACTAAAAAATTTACGATGCTGTTATACACTGACAATAGGATTTTTTTCCTTCTCCGGCTTCCTTTCAGAGGAATTCAAGTGGAGGCATTCTTCACCTATTCTAATACATGGTTGTGCATGTAAACTATTTTACAATTAACTTCTTATGCTTGATAATATAGTGGATGTAGTAAAAAATGCTAGCTCGTTATGGTATTAGGATTGATAGATGGGACTTATAGAGCTCATTAAATTCATTTGTTTCTTTTGTTGAAAGTTTGATCTGGGAAATAGCTGAGAGTTTATGCTTTTTAAGCTTTTATTACTTATATTGCCTTCTCTATATAGATAAACTCAGCATTTTTGAGTCAGTCCCTTGCTCTGAGGTCTCCTATCCCTTCTTGTTGCCTGCTTCTGACGGAGTCACTGCAACTGTTGTCAGAATACTGAGCTGCTGCTTCTGCTACTGAGGCTGATGATGTCTCTGCTGATAGCCCAGAGGCATTCTGTTCTGGAATATCTACACGTGGACTTTGACACCTAAGCCATTTAAGGATTTCATAGTATTTTAATTCATTTACACCAGCACATCCAAAACAGCTAAAGGGAGATTTATAAACAGTGAATTTCATAAACTTGCTCCAGTGACAGTGAAGGCGGTTTGTTTAGGGGAGCATTCGGCACATTAGCCAAAATTTCAGTGAAACAGTAAACAGGAATGAGGCCAAAATTCCCTATGAAGTAGGTCAAGCTGTCCCCTCAGTAGACTGGACATTGCATGCAGATTGCCAATGCCACTGTTAGGAAGCAGGGGAAATGAGATTACAGGAAGCACGGGGTGAAGCTGTGGTGAGAAGGCTGTGAAAGAACGTGATGGAGTAAGCATCTGGTAATTTTTAATGGGCTGCACCTCACTGGACATACAAGCAGGGCTCCAGTTCTCAAACTCACTTATATCTGTTAGGTCCTTTTGTTCTTTACACATGGAAGGATATTCAGCTGCTGTTTATCACGTGATGCAGCCTGAGTATATTTATTTGCTGTTATTGGATTGCTTGAGAGTATGAGAAGGTTCAAGAGCCACAAGCTAGTCATACCAAGATTAATCTTTTGGACTTTATAGTACCTGATGCGACTAGGTTCCTTAATTTAGTTTGATATTTTAGTGATGAACAATGTCATCTTTCTTTCATTCTTTTTTCCGTGCTAAAGAATGTTAATCTTCCAGATTTCAGATTATCTGACATCTTTCAATGGATATTTTTTCCTAATTTTTTTTTTATGGCAACAGACCTTTAGTTATACAATAGCCAAACTGTGTTCTGATTTGTTCTTTATTCCTTTATTTAAGAAAAGAGAGTTAAGAATAGTTCCCTATTGTCCATTTGTCACTTATCTCTGAATGAAGATTTTACAAGAGTTCTTGACAGTGCTGATCTCTGAGTGGTAATAGCAAATTTAGCTATGAGTACACTGTTGGGGGTGATACTTTATTCCTTAATTCATTATTTTCCCTTTATGAATGGTTCGCCATCATTTTCTACACAAACCCACAATACAAAGTTTTTCAAAGGTACACTAGTCAGTACCTCACAGATTACTCAGCAATAGACTGAGCAACAGGGACCTCTACACAAATCCTTGAGATTTTTACTGGTGACCACCTTCTGCTGTATAAACACACTTATTTCTTACCCTTTATGTCCTACTTTTTAACCAATTAATCTGCATCAGAATTAATAATTGAATTTATAAATGAAAATTAGTGAAATTATCCCTTTTACTGAATGCCAACTGATGTTTTCTCTGAGAACTTTTGCCGAAAGTTCTTTGAAGATACAAGTATACTTCTGTTGTAATAAAGCACTGTCCTCTGAAATGCTTTGTGTGCTCATCTTAATAAGGTCATGAACTGCAGTACTCACATTTTTGCTCAGCATGAGGAGGATTTGGAAACCTGGACAGGCGAAAAAAAGGAGTAGCCACAGAAGCTAGAGTTTTTTCAACCCTAGAACTGCTGAATTTCCAACCTTTTTTAGCTAATGCTTTTCAGTCTCATGAGACTGTGGAATACAAAAAAAAAAAAAAAAAAAGTAACAGCCTGAAACTTTTCATGCCATCTTTATTCCCTATTGTGAAGCTGAACAAAGCAGCCTTTATAAAGGACTATCTATTACTGGCATAGAAATTGTTCCCTACTGTGAAGCATTTTCCTGTTTTTAGGCAAGTTAGTTAGGTGGCTTAACACATATAAACCCAAAGTATGTATACTCATGTTTATGCACTGAATTCACAGGAATAGTAGTGGATTAGACTTGCTGGTTTGCTAATTTCCTTTCATTTTAGAAAACTTCCACTGTTTTCTTAATACTGTTTCACAGTTCTGATTCTTGCTTTGTTCCTTTTTCCAGGCAGTACATGGTGCTTCTGCCCTTTCTGATACGTACTGATTCTCCTGAGAAAGTCTGTGTTCAGCTGACTCACCTGAATGAGTCTGTGACACTGAGCGCTACACTTGAGTATCAAGGGGAAAACAGGAGCCTGATTGATGATCTGGTGATAGAGAAGGATTTGTTTACCTGCATCCCTTACTCTGTGAGTAATCTAATCTCTGTGAGCATATCTTTCATATTTATTGCTAAAACGCAGTAGAACTAAACAAAGATGAGAAAGAATGTGTTGCAATCAGAGTCTTTTAAGCTGAGCCAAACAACAACAAAAGAATTTGATGTAGAAAACTGACTGTGCATGCAGGACTTAGGGAATGTTTCATCTTCGAACTTTGACTTTAAAGTAAAACATAGCCCATCTCGGTTTGATCTGCTCAAGACTCAGAGGAAAAAGAATGAACTGGAATGAGAACTGTAGAAGATGGGGAAGTGGAATTTAAACTGAAGTCCATGGTTTTATCTTATCTCTTTCTGGAGCTTATACATGTTTCTTGCAGAAGGCTAGTTGGTGAGTAATGTAAACAAGTGGTACCATTCCCAAATAATGAATTTTAGATGATTTCCATTTTAATGAATCATAGGATGGATGGTGCAAGATTGGTTTCAATACTTCAAAGAGGAAAGTTTGTAAGAGAAAGTACTGAGAGGCTAACAATGAGTTTTGGAAGGAGAAGCAGAAGAACCATGGAGAAAATGCAAGGAAATGGAGAAGATGACTTATTAGTTTCTGAAGGAATCATAGAATGAGTTAGGTTGGATTGGGTTAGGTTGGGTTGTGCTGGGTTGTATTGGAAGAGTCTGTGCAGGAGATCATCTAAGTTCCAACCACATCGCCATGAGGCATCCTGGATATGCTGTTTGTTAACAGAAAAGGTCTGGTGGGGGATGTAAAGGTTGGAGGCCATCTGAGTTAGACTGCTCAAGAAATGATAGATTTTTCTGATCCTTGTTGAAGGAGGGAGTCAGCAAAACTGCCACCTTGGACTTCCGGAGGGGGCAGATTTTAGCCTCTTTAAGACTGTGGTTGAGAGGGTCCCCTGGGAGGAAGTTTTGGAGGGCATGGGAGCCCAGGAAGGCTGGGAATACTTTGAGGAAGTTATTTTAAAGGTGCAGGAGCTGACCATCCCCAGGTCACAGAAGACAAGCCAACAGGCAAGGAGGCTGGGCTGGATGAACAGAGATCTTCGGCTAGAACTCAAGAACAAAAGGAAAGTTTACAGTCTTTGGAAGAGTAGGCAAGATACTTATGATGATTACAAGTATATAGTGAAGCTGTGCAGGGAGAAAATTAGAAAAGCCAAAGCCCAGCTAGAACTGAACTTGGCCAATAATATAAAGGACAACAATAAATATTTCAATAAATGTATCAACAGCAAGAGGCTTGGGAGAATCTCTATCCCTTGCTGGATGCCAAGTGCAAAGCTGTGACCAAGGATCAGGACAAGGCTGAGGTACTTAATGACTTTTTTGCCTCAGTCTTTTATAGCAAGACTTGTTACTCCCTGGGCACAAAGCCCCTTGTGCTGGTAGATAGGAATGGGGAACAGAATAGGCCCTGCATGATGCACAGTGAAATAGTTTTGGACCTGCTCCGAAAGCTGGACATTGACAAGTCCATTGGGCCTGATAGATTGCACCCTAGAGTGCTGAGGAAGTTGGCAGATGTAGTTGCCAAGCCACTCTCCATCATCCTTCAACAGTCCTAGCTAACAGAACATCCTGGTGGATTGGAGACTGACAAACTTGATGTCCATCTTCAAAAAGGACTGGAAAGATGATCCTGGTAGCTACAGACCTATCAGTCTCACCTTGGTTCCAGGGAAGGTTATGGAACGGATAATCTCAGGAGCCATCATAGACCAACTAAAGGTCAACCAGGGGATCAGGCCCAGTCAGCATGGGTTTGTGAAGGGTAGATCCTGTCTGACAAACCTGATTTTGTTCTGTGTCAGGGTGACCCGCTTAGTGGATGAAGGTAAGGCTGTCAATGTGGTCTACCTGGACTTCAGTAAAGCCTTTGACACTGTTCTCTACAACATCCTTGTGGAGAAGCTAGCTGCCCATGATTTGGATGGGCATACACTCTGCTGAGTGAAATACTGGTTGGATGGCTGTGCCCAAAGAGTTGTGGTCAATGGAGTTAAATCCAGTTGGTGGCCAGTCACGAGTGCTGTCCTCCAGGGCTCAGTACTGGGGCCACTTCTATTTAACATCTTTATTAATGATCTTGATGAAGGGATTGAGTGCTCCCTCAGTAAGTTTGCAGATGACACCAAACTGGAAGGGAATGTTGGTCTGCCAGCACAGGGGAAAAAGACACTACAGAGGGACCTGGATAGGCTGGATCAATGGGCCAAGGTAAACTGTATGTATGAGTTTCAATAGGGCCAAGTGTCGGGTCCTGCATTTTGGTCACAACAATCCCAGGTAACCCTACAGGCATGGGGGGGAGTGACTGGAAAGCTGCCTGATGCAAAGAGACTTCGGTGTACTGATGGACAGTAGGCTGAATATGAGCCAGCAGTGTGCCAAGAAGGCAAGTGGCATCCTGGCTTGTATCGGGAATGGTGTGGTGAGCAGGACTAGGGAAGTAATCCTGCTCATGTACTCGGCACTGGTGAGGCCTCACCTTGAGTACTGTGTTCAATTTTGGGCACCTCAATACAGAAAGGACAGTGAGGTACTGGACTAGGTCCAAAGAAGGGCAACAAGGCTTGTGAAGGGCTTGGAGAATATGTTCTATGAGGAGAGACTGGAGGAACTGGGGCTGTTTAGTTTGGGTTGGTCTCTTCTCACTGGTGACAGGTGACAGGATGAGGGGAAATAGCCTGAAGTTATGTGAGGGTAAGTTTAAGTTGACTATTAGGAAACTCTTTACAGAAAGGGTTGTTAAGCACTGGAATAGGCTCCCTGGGTAAGTGGTTGAGTCACCATCCCTAAATGTGTTTAAAAACTGTTTGGATGTCATGCTCAGGGTCATGATTTAGTGGAGGGTTGTTAGAGTTAGGGTAGTATGGTTAGGTTGTGGTTGGACTTTTCCAACCTGAGTCATTCTATGATCTTCCAACAGATCAGGTTGCCCAAAGCTTCATACAACCTGGTCTTGAACATTTCCAGGGATGGGGCATCCATCCAAGCTCCCTTGATCAATATGTTCCAGTACTTCATCACCCTCACAGTGAAGAATTTGCTCTTAATATCTTATCTAAATTTACCCTCTTTTAGTTTGAAATCATTCCCCCTACATTACACTCCCTGATGAAGACTCTGTCCTCAGCTTTCCTGTTGGCCTGTTTTAGGTACTGGAAGGCTTCTGTAAGGTCTCCCCAGAGCATTTCTTTCTTTAGACTGAACAACTTCAACTGCCATAGCCTGTCTTCATAGGAGAGGATCTCCACCCTTCTGATTATCACTCCAATAGAGCCATGTTTTCATAAGCTGAGGGCCCCACGGCTGAAATCATTATCACAGATGGATCTCATTACAGAGAAGTAGAGGGGGAGAATCACCTCCCTCAATGAGCCCTCCAAGTACACATCACAAAATCATGCCTTACCCTTGTTTCTAGCCTTGTGTCTTTCATGTCTCTTCAGAGAATTTTTGGACCTAGCTAATACTATATCCTCCAAAGGCTCAGTACAGTGAGGTGAATCAGTAAAGCAGTTATGATCTTCATTTTTTTCTCAGCTTTCAAAATCCAACAGCACATCAGTGGCACTTCTCACTGTGACAGTGAAGGGAGAGACCCTGCAGTTCAGAAGCCGCAAGTCAGTGCTGGTCATGAATTCTGAGAGTTTGGTCTTTGTCCAGACAGACAAACCTATCTACAAGCCTGGACAGACAGGTACAGAGAATTGGGTTGGTGTTAACTCTGGTGTTGGTGTTAAGCAGAAAATCTTCTGGACTTAATTCTCCAGACAACTATTTTTATTAAAGAAGTTTTCAAAGCTCTTTTGGGGGGGATTTAGAGCAAAAGAAAATCTTACTTCTGTCAGCTGAGATCTAAGGCATGTGGTACCATTGTTGTTTGTATTCTCTGTCCTCTGGGCACAGTATCTCAGTCAGATGGAGGCACAGATTCACATTCCTCCATCTCAATTATAAGCACAAATCTGGGTTGACTTCAAAACATTGTCTCCCTTGGCTGCATCTGAACCAACAGGGGAGAACAAGCACTTCCCACAGATAACTCTTTCAGCCAAGATCTGATTCTCCCTCTAAATTTGTCCACCTTTCACCATCAGTAAGAAAGTGAGTGTAAATTAATCACTTAAGGATCTCATTTCAGAGTCTGTTGATCAGTGAAATTAATCTGATTTTAAAATTATTGAAACACTGATGTTTGCTGGTAATGGTTATAAATCTTAACAACAAAATTTCCTTCTTTTTCATTACACTTCTCAGTTCTGTTTCGGATTGTCTCTCTGGATAAAGACTTCCACCCAGTGAATGAGAAGGTATGCACATAATTCCTTGTTTTTAATCAAGAGGCTTAATTCCCATTTAACACCTTTACTATCTGCATCCATAACCACTGAAAGAGAACCTTTACAGCAAATGATCCTTCTTTTCTCACAACACCAATGACCTATCCCATAGGCCATATTCTGTTTGGGACAGAGTCCATCTGTTTCCACTGACTGCTCCATTTCTTTCAAAGGGATATAGATATTTAGAACCTGCTTCTTCAGAGGAATGTACTACTTTCCAAGGAATAAGCCTGTAGACAGATTTCATTAGGGAAAAAATGCGTGAGACAAGTTTGCATTGAAAGTGACAGATGCTTTCAGCAGTAAGTGCCACCACATATTTAGAGACCGAGAGAGAAGAACGAAATGGATTTGGTTTGAAGAAACTGATCACTGGTATAGGTCCACCTTTTAGCTTATTCGTTAATCAGTCCTCATGCAGACAAGTTATTTGAAAATTCTTACTTCATCATGTTTTCAAACTGTGGTAAGACAACAAGATGAAGCTCTAAAATACTATTTATGAAGAACTGAGCATGCAGTGCAAATACAGAAAATGGCTCAGAGGACTTCTTAGCAAGTTGGTTTTCTGTCTTTCAGTTCAAAACTGAAAATTGCTTTAATCTCCATGTGACTCTCATTTCTAACTCTGATTTTCCTTTGTTCCTTCCCCATAGTTTCCATTCGTCTATGTTCAGGTAAGTGCATAACTGCATGTATATTATTTCAACAGAATGTGAATGCTTGTTATTGTTACCCAGTAGTGGTTTCATGCTGAGGTGCAAGTGAAAACAGATGAGTGCAGTATTCCTTTGTGTACAGGAAGACTGAATATCTAAATAAGTTCTAACATTGATAAGGGCATCTAAATAAGTTCTGACATTGATTCTGTGATTGAGAATTCTGTGCTGTCGGACCAAAATACTTGATGAGTACATGCCATGCTGTGAAGTATGGCTAGAGCGCATGAATGTCTTGTTCCTCTTCCCAAGCTGATCTAGGATTATCTGTCTGCAAAATATGTCCAAAACCATATAAATACATTTAATAAATAAAAGTAAAGAAATAAAATTATGTGAGTAAACATTTCCTCTATCTTCCCAAGCAAGCCTAATTTTTGTTTGGTTGTTTTATTTGTTCTTGTTTTTTGTTTTAACAGTCAAGCAGTGACAGGCAAAAGTTAATAAGAAGGATGATTCTGACAATGAATCGATTAAGTATTCACTATATCCACTATTGCAGCTGAGTAAATCACCTTGCAGTTATCATGTGAGACATCATCCAGTGGAAAATTGGTGGGAAGGACCTAGTGATATGCCCTAGGTCATGATAGCAACACAAAGAATGATAAAATTAGCATGCACGAATCTCAGGTTGGTCTGTGTGATCATGGATCCTACATAGTCAGTTCTAGTAGTACTTCTTGCAGCTTAGGGTTGATGTCTTCATTCTGATTTGTCTTTCTGAAGCTGGGAGTGTTGCCAGACCAGGGGAGACAGAGGCTGGGCCACAATTTTCCTCTTTTCTATTCTCTTGCCAGAGTGCTATCACTCCCTCTTCCCCTCAGCAAACTACCAGAACGAAGTTGCAGAGCTGGTAGGCAACTGACAGTATGTTAATAGCAAGAGAAAAGGAAGGGTAAGAGGCTATTGTGGTGTGGGGTGTCAGGTAGAGGAAAATGTCTCTAAGTCTTTCTCATGAGTTTGGAGCCCCGAAAGAACAAGTCCCTTCCCTTTCAATTTGTTGATACTTGACTGACTACAGGAATTTTATGAAATGAACAAGAAGAAGAACCTATCCACTGCCATCAATAATTTTGTAGTATCATTAAAAGCTTTAGTTTGAAAACACTAAGGTCACTCTGGGCTTTCATTTCCAGCTTGTGAGGCACAGTGTTTGTCAGTGGCATTTACAGCAGTTTACAAAGGCTAGTCCCACCATCCTCCACTCCCACCGTCACCTCTCCCTTGCTGCAGCTTCTCAGTGAAGTACTGCTCTCTGGCTTTCACATACGCTAATGAGGCAATCTTATAGAATAGGAAACTTACCTAATAGCAAATTCATCCATTTGTTTTTTTTTTCCTTAGGATTTTTTTGTTTTGTTTTGCTTTGTTGCTGTTTTTTGTTTTTATTGTTGTTATTTTTTGTTTCTTTTAATGTATTAAATGAGATCCACTAGTGCAGTTTACTTCATACTTGCATGAAATTTGGACTGGCCCAAAGGAAAGGATGACAGGAATGAAGGAAGGTGGCAACTGAAGGTGCTAACTTAGCACTGCTAAGTGCCAAAGAAACAAATGTTCATCCTTCCACCCTTAACACTGCTAACCAATCATAGCCAGTCACAAAGGCAGGTATTAGTGTGAACCTATTTCTGACCTGTTAATTTGACTCATTGCTTCATTTAAAACAAAAACAAACAAAAAGCTTCCTGGGAGAAACAAGCTGCCATAAATGCATTCTCCATAAATGCATCACAGAAATGGCAACAAGATTACAAGCCCAGTTGTAAAAAAAAGCTTCAGATTTCTCCTTTAATGAGGCCCTGTTGTGTTCTTTAAAACAAGTGGTGATCTTTTCACTGTGGCTTAAGAGTTATGACAGATAAGATTTCATCAGAACCACAGGATGCTTTACTGACCGTGCCTTCCCCAAATTCAGAGGGTGCTTCATGGGAACAAACTCTTCTGGTCTCTGAGTGGTGGCCTCTGGCTAAGATGACATTCACATCACCTTTTCCCTGAGCATGGGAATATAACCTCAGAATAGTGAATGTACTCCATCAGAAATTATTTATCTTGAGCTATATAGGATAAATAGGCTTTTGGTGACAAGCAATATATAACACATATAGCAAGCAGAAAATGAAAGGCTGTAAACAACCATGCTGCTGAGGTGCCTGGCAAGGGCATGACTGAATTAGTTTGGTGACTTCTATGAGAAATTTGGGGCTGACCTGATGATTTTGGAGCACAGCTTATTGACAGTCAGTACATAGTGAGCGATACTCAACTACTGTAGTGATGTCTGTTCCAGCATAAGGAATAGCCAGGAAAAATGAGAGGTCTCAGCTGGATGCACATATGTCAGATGTGCTTACTGTATTCTTCTGTGCTCCTTTCTCTGCATCCTCACCCTATGACAACATTTGGACTCTCATATATGTAGACTTGTTTAGTTTCTCAGGTAAACCATGTACCTAATTCCTCAGCAGAGTATGCGCTACTTCTCAAGCATGCTCTATCCCAAGCACAAAAAAATTCTTGTTATAGACTGTACAACAAGTGAAGGAGTCTGTCCGAAAATTATCTTTTTCCCCATGCTCAATTAATTCCTGCTGTCCATCTTTATGCCTTGCTACCTTGTCAGTCTTTCTTTTCCAAATTCCTGGCTTCATCATTTGTAAGCAAGCACATGTTTATGAGGAGGAGACAGCACAGGACATCTGTGGTTAAAAACAGTGTGCTTTATTGCATGCTAGTCATGCAGAATTGGCAGGTAAGAGATCCTGAAGTCACAGCTCTTCATAGATTATTGAGTATTTAAGGTTAGGCATTTCCCAGCTTGGATGTATATTTCCTGGACGCTCCAGTGCTTTGTCTTTGGGAGCAACCTTCACCAAACTGCCCTGACTGTGTACGTAACTTACTTGTAACATGGAATTATTCTCATCTGCAGGATCCCCAGAGAAACCGTGTTTATCAATGGCAAGGGGTAGAACTTGAGACCGGCCTTACACAGCTCTCCTTCCCCCTCACCTCTGACCCCATCCAAGGCTCCTACAAAATAGTCGTGCAGAAGAACTTCATCGCCCACGTGGAGCATTCCTTCTCTGTCGAGGAATACGGTAAGGAAAGAAGATATGGACTGCAAGTGGGGCCTTTTACTCTGGCCTCCTTGGGATTTGGGATTTTTCAGGAGAAAACATGAAATCTGAAAACATAGGCAATGGAATTCAGAAGGGCTGATACAGAAGGATGTTCCTCAGTTTATGGCTTCTTTGTAAATCCCACCCCAAGTTCGCATTTTTAGGCATGCAGTTTGCTGAAAGTAGCACTAGATACAAAGCAAGCAGTTACTACAGCATTTTGGTGATCCTGGCTCACAATCTCTGCATCGGTTCTGTTTCTCCAGTTGTAGCCCTCTCTCTTTTTCCTTTTCTTCTTGTTTCTGGAAAAGTTTAGAAACTGGTTGGTTGGAAACAAACCATAGCACCCCAATTTAAAGAATAACACTTGAGAAATGTGTCATGGTTTTGTGAATGGTATAAGAAAATGAAAGTGGGCTGGTAGTGGAGACTGAATAAGGAGCAATGTGCTGTTTGGGTTACCTAATCTAACCCCCAATTCTGTTGTGCATAGATGTGTCTCTGCCTAGCCTGTGTGCATCTGAGGAGCCTCTGGGCCTGTACTCCATGCTGGTTCTCCCTGAGGCTCCCCTGGCTGTAAACAACTAGATTAACCCAGCTAATTGCTCAGAACTCACAGTTTCTGGAAAACAAAGGATGCAGATCCAAAAAAGACTGTAACTGAAGTGCTTGGGATCTGTCTTATCTGGATCACAGTTAGATACTGAGACTATTATGGTCATAAGAATGACCTAAACAGAATCTGGGTTATAGGCTCTACCCTGTCATTGTGACAGATGGGCTGTGCCTTCTCCCACAAAGATGTCACAGGCCTTCTCCCCAAAGTAAAGATATTTGTCCCTTTCCTAGCCTTGTGGTAAGCTACTTTTTCTTCTATTTGTTCTTTAGTCTCATTCCCATGAATCTCCCATTTTGCTAACTCTTTTACATCTCATGCCGAGCCTTTTGAAGAGTGTTGAAACTGAACTGAGGAGGTGTGCAATCTCACTCCTTTTACTTCCTTGCACCAGGAAAAACAAAAAAACTTCAGGTGCAAATCCCAGAAGTAAGCCATTACATAGTCCTGGGCTTGAGTAGCTGAGGGACGTAGTGTTGCAGGCTGAAGTCTAGGAAGAGAGATGTAACAAGTCAGAAACAAAACATGCTTTTTACTTGCCACCCTTCATATCAGATTTTATTGCCACGTCATTCACTTGAAAAAAAAATGAGATTTGATAGCAGGCTGGGTTTTCCAGAACAATAAGAAACATCAAGAGAGAATCAATTATTTGAGCTGTAGTAATTTCAATGTAGTAAATCACACAGGTGGTGAATGCACTGCTTTGGCTTAACTAAAAATTATGTGTTGTAAAACATGGAACTCAACATGCAGATAGCAGTATGTCCATATGAATAGGCATATCTGATCGATCTATATAGCTGTCTGATGCCAATAGGGTCACACAAGTATGTGCTGCAAACGAGGGAAGGTAGAGGCTACAAGCCTCACCCTCCCTAATTCCCTTTAAAAACAAATGGTGGTGAAGTCAACAGAAACATAAGAAGGGGGTAGCAGAGTGGTACTGAAGACCCCTGGTGGTTCATATTGAGCTGATTCTGTTTGGGTTTCTGCGCAGTATACAGCTTTTCACTCTTCTCACATTAGATTTTCTGTCTCCCATCTAGTGCTGCCCAAGTATGAGGTCCTGGTGAAGCTGCCTAAGATGATCACTATTGAGGACAAGGAACTTCCAGTGTCCGTCTGTGGTCTGTGAGTCACAGAGCTGGAGTAAATCTCTCTCAAGCATCCTTCAGTCCTCCTTTCCACTAAAAACAACAACAACAACAAAAATCACATCAGAAAAAGGGAACGTTTTTCATACTTTTTAAAGAGATCTCATGCAGGCAGGCTTATTCCACCCTCTATGTTCTGAGGCTGCTACTTGACCTTAACAATTCCTTACAGGATGATGTCAAACCAATCAGCATTTCTCTCTTCTTGGTTTATTCTACATTTTCTCTTTCTGTCTTTACATCTCATCAGATAGAGCTTCTCTACCATTCCTGAACCTTCCAGCACTTGGGGATGTCAGATCTGACATCACTTAAGCAGGTTGTGTAAAACCAGTGTTGTAGTATGTAACTTATACATTGTTCTGCTTGAGCCCCTGCTCACCTGAACCCTTAACTGTTTGGGATACAAAGATACTCCCAACTGACATAATATCATGCAATATTTTTCTGCATTGCTATGGAGATCTCCCACCTAGATCAGACTCTAATGTAGGAATCTCACCACTATAATGATGGAAACATAAGCACTAGAATGATTAGAGTATCAGACTGAACTTTAAGAAGAAATACTACTAAGTAATCCACATATGTTCTTAAGGATGTATGTCTGAATGTGACTCTGACTGCTTATCTCATCATCTAGTCTATTGTTTAACACTTTGTGATTATAGTTACACCTATGGAAAACCAGTCCCCGGTTTGGTGAGTGTCCAAGTGTGCCGGAAATTTTCCCATTCTGCTTCACATTGTTATAGAAAAGAAGGAGAAGCTGTATGTGAAGAATTCACCAGGCAGGTGAGCTACAAGATTAAAATATAGGAGTCCTTATGATGGGCAGTGTTGCTTAAATTAAGAGAGCAAATCTATGATAGGTAGGACATCAGTGATAACTGTCCAGGAAAAAGCAGATGTTCTCAGAGGAAGATGTTCTTAAGAGATCGGTCATTAGACTGGAAACAGAAATGAAGAAAACCCCACAGCTGAAATCGTGACCCCAGTGAAATGAGCAACTAACTAGCAGCTGTGAGGTCTCTGGTATTTATCACCAAACTAGCAAAGAACCTTTCACAGAATGTCATAACTGTGGGAAAGATTGGCAGGGAGCAAAGAGCATAGAGAATGAGAAGACAAGAAAGCAATATATATATGGGTCAAACACAGAAGGGAAAAAGTAAAAAAGTGAGAAGAGTAAAGTCAATGAAAGAAGCAGGAAGACAAACAAAACTGAGTTTTGTTTTGGAGTCAATAAGGAAAGGATTTAATAAGGAAAGCTCTGCATGGCTGGAGAGCTAAGTACTAAGAACATAAATCTGAGGTTACATGAACAAAAATTAAGCATGTTGTATTGAGAGTTTCTGTTCTACAAGGCACCTAAGTTGTTTCTATTTTCTCTCCAAACCCTTACTTAGGCAGATGCTCACGGGTGTGTTTCTGCTGTAGTAAGGACTAAGATATTTCAGCTCCGGCGCAGGGGATATAAGATGAGCATTGAGGTGCAAGGCAAGATCACAGAAGATGGTACAGGTATGTGTCACATGGAGATGGGAAATTAACTGTAGGCCACAAGAGGAGAGCTTGGCAAAGCTGAGGAAGGTAGATGGCTTGTCTAAAAATGTTAAAGTTCATTAATAATCGCTCTTTACTGTGCTCTCTCTCAGGAATAGTTGTGACTGGAACAGGCTCCTGTGAAATCACATCCATAATGAGCAAAGTCAGCTTTGACCTGTTGGACTCTTATTACAGACCAGGGATCCCACTCTTTGGCAGGGTGGGTAACTTCTGAGACCTTGGAAAGTGTAATGTCACAGAAAACTCACTGGTTGTCAATGGTTTACAGGCCGGTTCAGCCCAGTTCCGTGACTAATGGGGTGAGGGAACCCACAGACCTGTCTGGGAAAGGGAGAAAGGGAAAGGGTAGGGAGATGGGCCTAAAAACAAAACAGTGGCAATGATCTGAGGAGGAAAGTTAATTTACTAAATATGATATTGGAATGCAAGATAACAATAATACAGTACAATTGGAATTGAAGCTAATAGATCAAATAAAATGAGAGAGTGTCCAAAAACCAAAGGTCTTACTCTAATGCTGAAGGTGAGACAGCTAGGGAGCACATACACAGAGACGAGCAGAAAGGGAAAAAGTAATGTCCTGTGGCTTGTGAACAGTTTTATCTTTCCCTCTGAACAGAAAACAGAAGTGAAAAAGTCTTCTGGGGTATGTAGTTCTTCTTCTCTTCTGAAAACCAGGTACTCAGAAAATCAGCAGTCCACGGAACTGGACTCTTTAACTCCCAATTCTCTACATTATGTTATGATGTGGAATACTGATAACAAAAATCATAAAACCATGACACTGGTGTGCAATTTCATCAATTGGAATAGCAGGGTGTGCAGGTGACATAACTTCTGCAAAGGCAGACAAATTATTGTCTGCCAGGTTACCTAAGAAACACATGTCCCTGAACCTCCCAGCTGTCATCACAGTAAATAATAGACAGCCTGTTGTTCTGTCATACAAGAGTAACATCAGGGAGCAGCAAGAATGGGGCATTCCACAAGGAAAACTTAGCCAGGAGCAGAGCAGAGCAGAGCAGGGATGTTAACGATTTCAAGTTCCACCGACGGTCTAGTGGTCACCAGGCAATATAAGGCAATAAGTCAGAGCTGAGATCAAACAAGAAAGACATATCAACTTGATGGGAAAAGCAGGAGAAAGAGCTCAGTGTAGATCTAACTGTGATGCAGGTTAGTCTAATGCTCTGTCAAGGCACAAGCCTAATTGAACTCAGAATTCCTGGACTAAGAGGCAGGTGATACATGATCAAAGAGGCTGAACGGAACAATTAAAACTGGCTAAGAAATCAAGTTCTAATAGATGAGTTCAGTGGGATGATCAGATTGCTTTGCTGATGAAGATCTGCTGCCTCAAGCAACTTAGGACTCACCATGCGCATTTCCACATTCTTCTATTTTGTTCTTCTCCATAAGAAACATCTAGCCTGGCAAAGAAGAAGAGGGGGAGGGGTTTTTAGAACTTAGGAATTATTTCTGTTTCTAGCCTAAAACCTGACGTTTGCTTTTGCTTTACTAGGTGAAGCTGGTAGATGGTAATGATGTTCCTATTGCCAATGAAACCATCAGGATTTCTGTGAATGGAGACGTATACAAAGGCAATTACACTACAGACAAGCAGGGACTATCCTGGTTTTCCATTGATACTACCACGTTTACAGAAGCCTCCCTGGAAATCCGAGTGAGTGGCAGAGACAGGGCAGGGGCCTGTCTCTGTCTTTTTTGTTCAGCAGAGGAAATATGTTTACATAAGTCATCAGCCTTTCTTCCAAAAAGGAGATTAAGCAAGTTTTTTTTGGCAGGTCACCTCTCTTCTCTGTCTCCTGTGCATGTTTTTCTATGTATCTTTTTCTTTACCTTCATCTAAGAATGAGAGACAGAACATAGCCAGTTTGCCCATGGACATTCATGTGACTTGTTACCCGGTTTTAGTCAGCTGTGAATTTTTTATTCTTCTTTATCAGGCTGAATATAAACCTGAACTGAACTGTTATGTCAGTGACTGGATCACGCCTTCACATGAGCATGCCATGCGTAGAATAAGTCGGTTTTACTCCCCCAGTAAGAGCTTCCTCAAAATTGAGCCCAAGTTGGAGATGTTAAGTTGTGGCTCCTCCGCAGAGATCCAGGTGCACTATATCTTCACACCAGAGGTTATTGAACAGCAGAGGAATATTATCATTTACTATTTGGTAAGAATTGTTTGTGGTTACTTTGATCCATGTCCATAGCAACATATCATTGCTAGGTGATTAGCCCTTAGCCAGTTACGGTGGAGGGAGCTTGAAACAGAAAGTATGACTATTAGCAGTTGGACTTGAACACATTTCCATAATATGTCCCATGTTGTCTTCTGTTTTCTGACTTGGGTAGGTTGCCTGTGTTTGCTTAAGAACAGAAGAGAGACAAAATGTTGATGTACAGAATATTGTCAAGATCCTCATTTCTTATTACTCTTCTATCCCATTCCAAATTCTGGTTCCTAAATTGTTACAGCTCAGAAACTAGCATTCTACAAGAAGATGAAAGATGAACTGGAAACCTGTTTCCTTCTCAGTCTTTTGGTAGATAGCTGACTACAGGAACTAAAGTAAGACCTCTAGCTACAGAATTGGAAAAGCTTGATAAATTTAGAGCTTTTTTTTTTTTCTTTTTTTTTTTCCCATAAATCAATCAGTGATGGAAAGTTCGGGATACCAAGGCAACTGGAGCAAATTGTAATATGCTTGCATTGAGGACAGAAAAGATAAACTAATTCAGCTGTGACTGAACAATGGTCCATGACTTCTGCTTGGGAAAAGAGAAAGAATCAAGTGAACACTCAGATAGTATTTCTTTCCTCCTAATTTTTTTTTTCCTGGCTATTTCATTTAACAATACTAGCAGAAGAGATGAATTTCTTCTAGGTATGCAGATCTAGAAGAAATCATGGGAACAGACATAAAAAACATCTGGGGGAGTTACAAGGACTTATCTCAGTAAGATTACAAGAAAGGGAATAGAAAACTGTGGTAGACGTATCCATATGATTATTTTCAAGCCACACCTTGAAATTAAAATACAGTGCTATGACATAGATATCCCCCATAGAGTATGGGAGTGTGCAGTAATTGTATAAAGAGCATTTCCTTGTAAAAAGGAAACTATTCCTCGAAATGAGAAAATTAGAGGCAGCATTCAGGATGTTGTTTTAAATCTGGCTTCAAGTACTTCATTCAAATACTTGTTGTTTACAGCCTGTGTTCTTCTTCTATTCAAACTCTGTGTGAGTTATGGAAATAATTCTGATTCATGTTTTCTCCACTGTGTTTCACAAAGCAAGTGAGAGTAAAGTGAGGACAATCTTTGGTCATCAGTCTGTTCAAAAATGTTAGAAAAGTGCATATCAACCCACAAACCTTTGTGAGTTCAGAGGCAAAGTGCATTTGAACCTGAAATATACATGTAATGTGTGCAACAGGGAATCTGGGTCTGACTAAGGAGGAAACACTGGTCTTTCAAGGAGGGAACATTTCTGGCTTAAAAACTTAGTGAATTTGAGTCTGACTCTTGCTTAGTATCTTCTTTGCTCACAGTTGTTACTACTATTCATACTCACATACCCTACAGCTTACCCGGTGAACATTCATTTTTCTTCCCTTCATCACACCAGAAGTGATTATGGAAATCTTTCTCTGTTACATAGGTGATGGCCAAGGGCAGTATTATATTAGCAGACACCTATGATCTGACTGTGGATCCTGGAAATGGTGAGCAGAAATATGGATTTTTAGCATCTACTATGAGATGGGGATAGGAGGATATAGAGAAACTATTTCAGTTCAAACATTTAAAAAAACTGAAGAACATTCTGAAATTTAATTCTTCTTAGATTAAGTAGTTTGAGTTGGTTTTGTTTTGTCTGTATTCTTTCTGTTGCTATGCTTTTAAACAAAATATTTTAGAAAATATACAGAAAATACACAGAATTTTTTTCTCAAACCAATGCTTTCCTGCTGACCAATGTAATCAATTCTGATTGTGAGTACTTGTCAATGTTGTAAGATTCACAGGTGAGTTGGAAGATGTCTCTTTTTCCTTCTGTCTCTCTTTTTTACTTATCTTTGTGGATGTTATTTCTCTCTTATAAATGTGAAAACATGTATGTATGTATGTTCCAACCAGTGCATGTAATTCTGTATGCATAAATGTCCATGGATTACACATTTGAGTGATTGAGACTGTGCTGTATCTTTTAAAGTCTTTTGACAATGAGACCAGGGAAACCATCTTGGAAGTCTATGAGGATTTGCACCATAGTGGGAATAAACTGTATGCAGAACTAAACGATCTTGGTTGCTACAAGACATGATGTTGTGAGGGTGTTAGAAAACTCTGCTTATCCACTAGTTGTAGTAACTAAACTAACATTCTGACTCATACCAAGAGACTTTCTATCACCTTCATACAAACTGTGAAATGAAACTCAGGCCCAGGTAGAAAGATCCTTTCAACATAAAGGAGCATTTCCCACTGTAGCTAGTTTGGTGTTCCAGGTAAATACTAGCTTAGGAGTTACTTTGAGGAACTTTTCTTTCAATCATACTCCAGCCTTGACTATTGCTGCATGCTACAACTCTCCCTAATTTCTATGTATGTTCTTTTTTGGTCATCTATTGTTTTGTAGACTGCAGAAGATCTTAGAGCTTGAGGCATAAAGGGGCTAGGAGGTAATGCCAGACGATAGCTGTGGAGGATCCAGAGGGCATGTTGAGACCCACCAACCATCTAATTTGGCTATTACATAATCACTATCGCAATTGAATGCAGATGTCTTCAGCAATAAGCATAGACTCCAGTCATGTAGACTTCATGCCCCTGCTAACTAAAATTGTTCAACACAAGTGAACTTCTTTATATCAAGAAGACAAATATATAGGCTGGAGCATCTTGTTATATAGCTTAGTATTTCTTCTTTCTTTTAGCTTATGGGATATTCCAGTTGATCTTACCTGTTGGGATGACAATTGCTCCCCTGGCACAAATGCTTGTGTATACCACTTCACCCAGTGGAGAAGTCATTGCTAGTACAGGAGAATTCCAAGTTGAAAGTTGCCTTCTCAATAAAGTAAGTAAAAATCAGTGTTTCTGTTTGTTCATGGCCATAAGTTCAGTTATTAATTCCATCATGGAGGCAGAATTCACAATGGGTTCATGGAATTGTCTCATCAGACACTGACTGAGGTTTAGTAACTAATATTCAGAATAGGTTACAAAGCCATAACTACAAAAGTGAAGAAAACCTTAATAACAAAGATAACTGCTGGTCATTATGAATCACACTAGTAAAAGCTGAATATATTAGAAGAGTTGTAGAGCACTAGCAGAACTCAATTCACAAAGCTAGATACTTCAGTATCGAAGAGCGTGTAACAGCATCAGGAAAACTAGCTACTTTAACCTACTTTTGGTATTGCAGGTCAGCTTGAGTTTTGTACCCAAGGAAGAACTTCCTGCCTCCAACACAAGCCTGAAACTCCATTCCTCACCAAGGTCCCTATGTGCCCTCCGTGCTGTGGACAGGAGCGTTCTCCTCATGAAGCCTGAAGATGAGCTCTCTCCCAGCTCTGTAAGTCTTTGCTGTTTCTAGTAATAAATAATACAAAAATTAACTAGGTACTTGCTAACACTAGGATGGACACAAGGCCATGTATGTCACCATAACTGGTTTTAGTAGCCGTGTTCTATCATTGGATTGTTAGTTTCTGTGTCCCTATGAGTGCTAACTTGCCACATTTTTACCTGGTTGTTTGCATTTTCCAAGGTGTATAACCTTCTCCCACTCAAAGAACTCCGGGGTTATAGCTTCAAGGACTACTACTTGGAAGAAGAAGATGTAAACCCCTGTGTGTCACTTGACAACATATTACTAAATGGATTCACCTATGTACCCATTTCTCCTGATGGTGAAGGTGATGCTTATGAAATTCTCAAAGTAAGCACCAGACTTCAATTTTTCTTCTTTATTTCTTTTTAGAATACAGTATCCTTTCCTCCTTTTCCCCATCTTGAAAGTCTTTTTGAATGAAGTTTGCTGTGAGCTTGCTAATCTGTGTATTCAAGGCAACAGCAAGGCCCAGTCCCTGCCTCTGTATAGCCCACTGCTGGTACGTAAGTGCTCCTCTGAGCCATTAAAACCTTGAGGGGTCTCCTCAGTGCTAGTGCAGAAACCAGTGAATGGGCTCGAATAAGGAAACAGTCATGAGTACTGGCCTAATACCAGAAATCCCTTCCTCAGTCATGCAAATTCTCTGTTCGGTGTAGATAGTGGTTTAATAAAGTTCCAGTTACTGTAATAACCCACAAAAATACCAAGTCCTGCGTGTAATTTTTAGGTACTTTCAATTCAATGCTTTTCACACATCATTTTCACGAAGACAGATGTCCCCAAGGTAGACTATCGTCTTCAAAGCTTTTCATTTAATCATGTCAGGATTTAGCCTTAGGATGAATATATCATGATGAAGCTTCAATAATGTGGGTTGAATCAGCCTACTTAGCATTTATATACAAGCCTTTACTGTTCTGACCAATCCCAGATTGTCATGCTTGGTGTATTAAATCTATGCTTGGCATATTACAAATAGCTTAATTTCAAAAGCTTATTTGCTTTTTTATTGTTCTTTCTTTTTGTTTAACAGCTGATAGGCTTAAAAGTCTTCACTAGCAACAAGATCCACAAGCCTGAAGTCTGCCAGCATTACACAGCGCATATGATGGAAAGGAGTTACAGTGGTTCTAGTAAGAAGACCTGCTTCATTTTATCTCCACACAACTACCTAAAGTTTACCATCATGCTTCTTTCTTCTCCTCTACTTCTTTGAGTATTAATTACACTAGAACAATCAAACTTTGTACTAAGATATGTCAGCCTAATTCAGGATCACTTCCTTCTGGATTCAGTCCTGAAATATGAAACTGATACACCTTATCCTCACCTGAAAAGAAATGTCTGGTTAAGACTGTGTGCTCAGTGAATCACATGCCAAGCACTACAGCAAGGATCATCCATCTACATTGGATGGACTGCCAAGCATGAAGTGTAGGCTTTGTTCCACCAAATCAGGATTCACCTATAGAAACCTAAACAATGACAGTCTCTACTTCATGGTAGTTACATTCCAGCAATAACTAGGGAAATAATTATGGCAAAACTAGGCCAAGGTGATGAGAAGGTAATACGAATTTGTGGGCTGATGTGTTGCGCTGAGGGTGGGAAAATTTTATTCTGTTCCCAGTTTTCCCATTCATATAATTTAAAGGGTCTGTGTAGGTCATTTCACTTCTTTGCAGCATCACTGACTGCAAAGACAGAAAAAAACATACTACTTTTTTTCCTAAATGACTGATTTTTTCCATTTTTCCTAAATAACTAAGTTGTGAGATTTTTTTTAAAAATATTTATTTATTTATTTATTTATTTATTTTTGTGGTACAGTAGCTTAGCTACTATTACAAACAATAGCCTTTGGTCTTGAGGAAACTCCTAGTCATAACAGATCTGATCTTCTGTTTTGAAATGCCAGATCTGTCTTCAGAGCATTGCCTGAGACTACTGTGCACTATGAAAGGGTGTAGAGTCTTCCAAGACTGATGGAAAGCCTTTCATAAGGCACAGCACTGTGAAACACTGTCAGAATTGGTCTCCCTACCCTGGAACTGCTTATGTGCTTGTACCTTGAGATGTAAATATTCAGTTCATAAGAATTTTAGATGGAGAAGGGGAAGGATAAGTGTAACTGCAGTTTCTGGCCATGTATAAATACAATCCACTAATGAAATTTATTAAGCTATATGCAACCATAATATCTGGAGGCAGTGAGTTCCACATTTGACTTCTTTAGTGCAACAGAAAAGTACCCTCAATAGCCTCTTTACAACCAACTCATTTGGTGCTCCTGGATTTGCTGGAAATGGAATTAGAATCATCAACCCCTGTAAGAGAAGAAGCTTTAGAAAATATGAAATATTGAAATGACAGAAGAACAATACATTTGTTTCCAGTGAGCAGTTGATGTGAGGCTAAGAATGTAGTACAGGGTATGCTGTGTTTGGTTCCAAATAGAGGCAGCCCAGAGTTTGAATCTGTGAGTGTTCCTATGATCAAATTATTCAAGTTGTTCTTTCAATGTTATAATTTTATTAAAGAATAACCACTAAATGGAAGCATTGTATCCTCCTTGATTAGAATGGAGTTTAACTTATCTTTTCCTGTAACAAATTTTTTAGTCATTGCATCGCAACTCCTTGATGATTCAGACTATGCAATGTTAAAAGGGATGGATGCTGACCATCCCATGGAGACCATCCGGAAGTACTTCCCTGAGACATGGATTTGGGACATATTTTCAGTGAAGTAAGTGTTTACGGGAATTGGGGCAAAACCTCAGAAGATAGTTAAACTTCTGTAAAAGTTTCAATATTTTGGTGAGGGAATATTTTTAATAGACAGAGGGATTGCTAAAGGATGCTAAGTACAGGATGTTTTGGGAGGACCTGCAAAACATAGTGCCCATATCCCAACTGGACAGGAATTTGCTGTAAGTAGTTGTTGTTCATTAGGCTGAGAAAAAAAAATAGATGATCTCCAGAATATGACTGAAACCTTGCTCTCTGTCCCTCACCAGCTCTGAGGGAAATGCTGATCTAGGTGTGACCATCCCTGACACCATCACTGAATG